CTCAATGGTGAACCACATGCACCTGCGGAGCAAGCTTCTCAGTTTCCCGCACCCTGGCCGTGGGGTATGACGGAGGGAGGAGGTGGGGTACTGACGCTCTGACAAAAAAAAGAGCTTTGAGGCGGCTCATGGTTGGCTTCATAAAGCGCGTGGTGGTCAATGACAGCATTGTGCCGGGTCTTAGACTGGTCACCAGGGTCGCCAGCACTGGTCTATATCATGGAGTGGCGCATGTACAGTAAAACCTGTTACTAAAGACCACCGCGACTAGCGACCAGCCTGGTACTACAGTAAAACCTGTTACTAAAGACCACCGCGACTAGCGACCAGCCTGGTACTACAGTAAAACCTGTAACTAAAGACCACCGCGACTAGCGACCAGCCTGGTACTACAGTAAAACCTGTTACTAAAGACCACCGCGACTAGCGACCAGCCTGGTACTACAGTAAAACCTGTAACTAAAGACCACTGTGACTAGCGACCAGCCTGGTACTACAGTAAAACCTGTAACTAAAGACCACCGTGACTAGCGACCAGCCTGGTACTACAGTAAAACCTGTTACTAAAGACCACCGTGACTAGCGACCAGCCTGGTACTACAGTAAAACCTGTCACTAAAGACCACCGCGACTAGCGACCAGCCTGGTACTACAGTAAAACCTGTTACTAAAGACCACCGCGACTAGCGACCATCCTGGTACTACAGTAAAACCTGTTACTAAAGACCACCGTGACTAGCGACCAGCCTGGTACTACAGTAAAACCTGTAACTAAAGACCACCGTGACTAGCGACCAGCCTGGTACTACAGTAAAACCTGTAACTAAAGACCACCGTGACTAGCGACCATCCTGGTACTACAGTAAAACCTGTTACTAAAGACCACCGTGACTAGCGACCAGCCTGGTACTACAGTAAAACCTGTAACTAAAGACCACCGCGACTAGCGACCAGCCTGGTACTACAGTAAAACCTGTTACTAAAGACCACCGCGACTAGCGACCATCCTGGTACTACAGTAAAACCTGTTACTAAAGACCACCGTGACTAGCGACCAGCCTGGTACTACAGTAAAACCTGTAACTAAAGACCACCGTGACTAGCGACCAGCCTGGTACTACAGTAAAACCTGTTACTAAAGACCACCGTGACTAGCGACCAGCCTGGTACTACAGTAAAACCTGTAACTAAAGACCACCGTGACTAGCGACCAGCCTGGTACTACAGTAAAACCTGTAACTAAAGACCACCGTGACTAGCGACCAGCCTGGTACTACAGTAAAACCTGTAACTAAAGACCACCGTGACTAGCGACCAGCCTGGTACTACAGTCAAACCTGTAACTAAAGACCACCGTGACTAGCGACCAGCCTGGTACTACAGTAAAACCTGTAACTAAAGACCACCGTGACTAGCGACCAGCCTGGTACTACAGTAAAACCTGTTACTAAAGACCACCGTGACTAGCGACCAGCCTGGTACTACAGTAAAACCTGTAACTAAAGACCACCGTGACTAGCGACCATCCTGGTACTACAGTAAAACCTGTTACTAAAGACCACCGTGACTAGCGACCAGCCTGGTACTACAGTAAAACCTGTAACTAAAGACCGCCGTGACTAGCGACCAGCCTGGTACTACAGTAAAACCTGTAACTAAAGACCACCGTGACTAGCGACCAGCCTGGTACTACAGTAAAACCTGTAACTAAAGACCACCGTGACTAGCGACCAGCCTGGTACTACAGTAAAACCTGTAACTAAAGACCACCGTGACTAGCGACCAGCCTGGTACTACAGTAAAACCTGTTACTAAAGACCACCGCGACTAGCGACCAGCCTGGTACTAAAGACCACTTCGCCAGGCACGGACGGTCCCACATTCATATGTGGTTGTGCTGTGCAAACCACTAACTAAGGACCACCTGCCACTAAAGACGGCTTTCTCTGGCCCCAAGGGGTGGTCGTTAGTCACAGGTTTTACTGTACATGCTCGCCTCCACGTGATGAGCTGTGGCGTCCAGGGCTATCGCTTCAAACACACAACAGCCCAGCTCTTACCTCCACGCCAAACAACTCGAAGCCATGGTTGCAAAGGTACTTGAGCGCGTGCGACAAATCCCGATCAGCGTCCTGACGAGTAACTGTAACAAACCAAATCACAAAACAAGAACAGAAACAAAACAAAAACACAGCAGATAAGAATGTGAACGCATTGTCCAAATAAAAAGAGCCAGCCAGCAATGGTTCTGGGAGAGAAAAGAGAAGAAAAAAAGTTGAGCTTTCCCACACCGGGAATTGAACCCGGGCCGTCTGGGTGAAAACCAGAAATCCTAACCACTAGACCATATGGGAGTGCACACGTCCTGCAGCACCATGCACCATCAAGATGCTTCTATCGCCATGAAGGAGAGATCGTTGCACTTTCCACTCCACCAAATTAGGGAGGTTTTGCTCTACGTAATTACGTATGAAAATCCGTATGGCGTACGCGCCGGGGAGCGAGGGCAACTTTCATACGTAAATCTTTCTACGGATTTCCGTAGGAAAGCTCTTTCCTACGTTGGGTCCTCCGTAGGACTTTTTGAAATATTTTTTCGCATTTTCCGCATTTGTCCATGGCAACATTCAAGCCGCGTGAAATACAAGGTACACACACCGTACACCACGTGCAAAATATAATGGAAAACGCGGTTTCGGTTCATGGTGCATGCGGTGGGCGCATGCAGCAAACGCGTCTCCAAAGCAACAACACATGTCTAGCAGTCGTGAAGAAATCACGTAGAGCGAAACCCTACAGCTCTGATTTTAACGTATGAAAATTCCGTGCAGTTCATACGTTATTTTCATACGTAATTCCGTAGAGCGAAACCTCCCTAATGTCGGGCCTGGCCCATCATCAGGATATAAGCACTAGTATGGCAATAGGTCAGCGGCGGATCCAGCGATCTCTTCAGGGGGGTTCCAGTATAGTCAAAACTGAATAGCTGATACAGTCGTCCCTCTCTAATCCGGCACTTGTTTATCCAGCACCCTTGCAAACCAGCACACTTTCTGGAAAAACGGATTTTTTCAGTTCATTTTCTACGCTTTAATCCGGCACTTGAATTCCGCCTCCAGCAGCGATTTTCTGCAACAAATCACTCAAACTGTACATAATTCGATTTTCTAATCCCGCAGTTGTACATCGCATACCGTCAGGGAGCATTGTAACATACACAACACATGTAACATACACTTGGGAATATCCTATGCTAGTGCATAGGATATTCCCAAGTGTATGTTAAACACATGCATTCCACAAAGTACTTGGATTGACACAGAAAATCCCTACGTTTCGACGTACGACACAAACATGATTGTATGTTAACAGGTGGATCGGGTTGGAGGGCAGGATTTGATAATCCAGCACCCTTGTTTATCCAGCAGAAAATGCCGTTGCAAAAGGTGCTGGGTTAGAGAGGGACGAATGTACATGTACAGTTGAATGTCACTTATCCGGTCGCCAGTTATCCGAGCACGTCGGTTATCCGACAAGCCCGGGAGTGGTAATTTTATGGCTCTGAACAGTAAAATTCTTAAAAAAATGTTTTTTGTTTTGTATATTATACGGTGTAATATGCATTTACTTGAAGTAGATGTGGTCAAGTATGCTAACATGTATGTGCACATGGAGCAATTCATGAATATGCATGAGTATATTTGGGTATTGTGTACATAAATCAGTGAAATCCAGCCATATATACACATAAAAAATGATATCAGTTATCCAACATATTCAGTTATCCAACATGCCTGATTCCCGTGGTCGGATAAGTGACATTCGACTTTACATGGACACGCATATGGTTACCAGTAGTACATTTATGAAATTTAGGGGGTTCCATGGAACCCCTGGAACCCCTCCTGGATCCGCCACTGTAGGTGCAATATAATGCGGTCATGAGAAAAGAGTGCTCGATATGCCACAGTCTGCTATGCCCAGGGTACTGTCTTCAGGGACGTGGGACATGCTACGGTCACTACCGTATTGACTGTACCACTATAAAAATTTAAAAAATTAAAGTAGAAAGGAAAAGGACATAATGGAAACGAGTTAAGAGTAACTCTCCACCACTGTAACTAGATACTATATACAGTCAGAAAGTGCAACAACTAGGCACAAAACTGACAGAGTACTGAGACATTCGACGTCCTGACACCTAGCTTTAACCCTTTCACTGCCAGCTGACCACTCAAGGTGACAAGGCGCTCCCTGCCAGGCTGTCAGCTGAGCTGTACACCCCCTCCCTGCCAGGCACTTTTTGCCTCCAGCTCAAATCGAAAGGCCAACTTCTCATGGATTTTTTGGTACTTTCTGTACGGAATATCGCTTTCCAAAGTATACATCGTAGGTAGACAACTCATAAAGGAAGCCATTGCCGTCGAAAAAAATCGCAAAATCCGAAGTACAAACGTGCTGCGCGCTCTAGCGCCAGCCGCTGTGCAAAAATGCATGTCATGTCATGCGAAAGTGCGCCGTGCGCCGCATGCGCTACATACACTATGTACACGATCGGCCCGGCACTCGCGAAGTAAAGTTAGTTGTTGTTTTGGAGAGAGAAGCAGATCCTTTTTTTGTTAGCTGGGATTGAAAGATCTGCCAGTGGACCGGAGAGCTACAACACTGGAAGCAGAAGAGATGGCGTGCGGAATGTTCTCTGTCTTCGTGGCAACAGGACTTCAGTTGCGAGAGACTTTCGTCCTGTTGTTGCGGACGAAATTCTAGTTGCTGCCACCAGAAAACTCGGAGAACGAAACGATCCTAAGTTGTTTGGTGAAGCGGATCGTGTCGGTGAACAGCTGCGGAATGTTCTGCCGCCATGGTGGTCGTTTGTTCTCCCGATTAGCAGCAGTCCGAATACATTTCTACTTCGGAGGGTGAAGCGCTTCCCTGTTCCGTTGACAAGCGCGGCGTTCGCGGGTGTAATGCACTTTCGCATCAGCTTGCAGTAGATCATCAGGTATTGAGCCTGAGGTAGGTGTCGTTGTAGAAAGAATATAATTATGTTGTAGCTGACATACCTGTAGTGTCTCTTGACTGTGCTGGTCGCCATTGTAACGTGGTAGTTCTTAGAAAATTTTAGTTCTGGACTCGGTGAGCGCCGCCAGCGCTGTTTCCGCCAAGTTTGCAGTGAATGCCAGCCTCATCCGCACGCGTCAGTACGACATCTTGGGTCTATCAGAGACATGGCTAGATCCCGAGATTACAGACGGAGAGCTCAGTATTGACGGGTACAATCTGATTCGAAAAGACCGCACTCAACGCTTGGGTGGCGGAGTCTGCTTCTACTACCGTCAAGATCTCCCAGTTCGATCCCGCCCAGATCTGCATTTTGAATCTACAGAAACAGTCTGGGTAGAAATAAACGGAAAACCAGGTCGGCACCTGGTTGGTTGCGTGTACCGGCCACCGGGGGAGCCAGTGTCTTACTGGGCAGATTTGGAAGCAGATATTGTACGAGCAGCTGTGCAGTCTTCTTCCGTGACCCTAGTTGGAGACTTTAATGTAAATATGGACCCAGCCCATCCGGCACCCCAGCACAAACACCTCACCGACCTCTGTGCTGCGTTTGGCCTCCAGAACATCGTCATGCAGCCGACCCGTGAAACTCCACAGTGCCCTGAAGGCACGATGATCGATCTCATATTGACCAACCCGGCGCTAGTGTCCCTAGCAACGGTTGTGCACACTGATATTAGTGACCACAGCGCTGTGGAAGCCTTTATTCAGCTTGCCGTTGACGTTCCACCCGCGTCATCCACGACGTCGCGGCTGACCAGGAATATACGTGGCGTTGACATTAACTCTTTTCGGCAAGATATCCTTGAGGCTTCTCTACATGATTTCTCGCATCACAATGATGTAAATCACATGTGGAAAGAGTGGCACACTAAGTTCCTGTACGTTTTGGACAAGCATGCCCCGCTGCACAACTCTAAGCCTTCCCGGAGGGCGATACCTCCCTGGTCTGACAGAGAGCTACACCAGCTCGAACAGCGTAAACGGCGGCTGCACAGCCGTTGGCGGAAGGATAGGACAAACGGCACACTGTATGCAGAGTTTAAACAAGCACGTAGCACTGCTCGGAACGCGTATCGGCGCAAGCGAAACGAGTACTTCTCCCGTCAGTGCGAAGAAAATGTGGCCAACCCTAGGAAGTCTTGGGCCATTCTAAATGCAGTCACTGGGTGTTCACGTCGCCGCCAAGATCCTAGTTGTAGCATCAGCGAGGTGGCCGACACGTTCCACTCCATTGTCACCGATCCCAACCGTCCTGAACAACTCTGTACCCCGCACGGTCCCGCTGGACCCGTCTCCTTGACCGAACTTGATCCTGTGACTCCTGCTGACGTCCGACGTCTCCTTGAGAAGTTGGATGCGCGGAAAGCCACAGGTAGTGACGGCATACCGGGCTCTCTGCTACAGCAGTGTGCTGACTTGCTTTCATATTCTCTTGCTGTGCTGTTCTGCACCTCGCTGAGGACTGGAACCATTCCATCCGCATTTAAATTGGCGTCTGTCGTGCCACTGTACAAGGCCGGTGACCCATCAGTCCCCACCAACTATAGACCTGTATCCCTTCTCCCAATAGTGTCCAAGTTGCTGGAGAGGGTAGTGCAACACCAGTTAGTTCGTCATTTGGACTTGACCCAGGTATTACCCGAAACACAATTTGCCTTCCGCAAGAAATGTTCCACGGAAGACGCCCTCTGTGTGCTGACTGATAATCTGCAGAAGGCGAGAGACAGTGGCAAGACCACAGGGCTGTGCCTATTAGACATGTCGAAGGCTTTTGATAAAGTGCACCACGACAAGTTAATTCAAGACCTCCTTGCGGTTGGAATTTCTGGAAAAGCCCTTAGTTGGTTCGTTGACTACTTGTCCGGCCGCAAGCAGCAGATCCTCATCTCGCCTTCAACCAGCCCTGCTCTGGCTTGCACCTGCGGAGTGCCCCAAGGCTCTGTTCTCGGCCCTGTCCTCTTCAGTATATACACACGCGATGTCCCTTTGGTTTCCTCGCCTGTGCCAAGTGTACAATTTGCAGATGACATAGCCCTGTACGACTCCCAGGCCTCAGCGGCGGAAGCGTCCAGAACCCTCACCACAGCGGCAACTGCTCTGGCCGGTTGGCTGAAGTCCCGAGGCCTCATCTTGAACGCCACCAAGAGCCAGGTTCTGACTATCTCTCCCCAGCAGCATGTACAGGAAGTAACAGTCAAAAGCGGCGACTGTCTCCTCCCCTCAGCGTCTTCTGCGCGCTACCTCGGCGTTCACCTTGACAATCGCCTAGATTGGGACACCCATGTAAACTATGTGGTCACCAAGGTTGCCAAGAAAATTGGCGACTTGTGGCGGGCACGCCGAAGCCTATCAAGACGCCCTCGTCAGGTGTATGTGAAGGCGGTCATAATGCCCGACCTGCTTTATGGCTCCTGCTGTTTCTCAGCCGCAATGCGAGAGGGTCAACTGAAACGACTGCAAACCACGCAAAACAGAGCCATCCGCTGTATCGATGGCAACCCGCCCCGGACAGCCATGCAGCCGCTGCTCACTGCTCACTCCCTGTACCGTGTCAGCGAGCTCTACAGGCAGAAAATATTGATCACCATCTGGCGGTGCATCCACGCCCGCACCAGCCCTGTGCTCGCCCAGCTTCTGACCCCGGCACAAGGCACCCCTACCCGCCATCAGCAGTCAAATGGCCTACTAAGCCAGGCAAACCGTAGCCGCCGCGGTCAGCGGAGATTTTCTGTTGCTGGTGCTCTGCTGTGGAACGCTCTCCCTGGTGAGGTCCGCACAATTACCCGGCTACCTGAGTTTAAGCATGCATGTGTACCATACGCCTGTAGGGAGTAGTTCGAGTTGCTGCTGATCGCTCTGCTCTCCCTCCCCGTGCAGCTCAGTAACCCGCACGTAGTATCACAGATACATCGTATTCTCTCTCTCCCCCCGTTTACCCGCAGTTGTTAGTATCCTATTCTCTTACTATGTGCTTCCATAGCTTTTACTATGTTCTTCCATAGCCACTTCTAGGCTAAGCCTTCGCCGTCATTTTATTGGGTCGTCATCCCGTTTGAATGTGCGAAGTGAAATAAAAACCAACCAACCAATGCGTCCGTGAGGAATCCGTCGTGTGGTTGTCTCTACCCGTGACTCCAACCGCCTAGCGCAATGGATAGCCGCCTGGAGTCTTGGGCAATGGCTAGGCATCAAGTCTGAACCAAATGTCATGCTCCTTGCAATGAAAGTTGACGGGAAAGAGAAAAAAAACTGGCACCGACTCAGCAAGGTGGAAGTGCGTGAGAACCGATTTCTTCCGCGCCGCTCGGCTAAAAATCAGATGCGCATTTTCAACGACGCTGGTTCGATTTTTTTCAAATGGCAACCCATACTTCTGGCAGTGTATTTCGATGGGTATGGACCTCTTCTAGGGCCTAGTGGCCCTCTACCACGGCTAAACATCTCCAATATTCAAAAATAGCGGCCCAAACTGGGTGAAGTCTGCCTGTCGACAAAAGTCGACGGTGGCACTGGGGACTGCATGTTTGCTTGTCGACTTTCGTCGACAGTGGCACTCAGAGTGCATGAATGCGCTGTCGACTTTCGTCGACAGTGGCAGTGAAAGGGTTAACACATCTCCGTAGCGCTAACCGACAGCCTTCCAACTTGGAAGGTTCAAGGTTATGGAAATACCAAAGAGTTGTCGGTTAGCGCTACGGAGATGTGTTGAAGCTAGGTGTCAGGACGTCGAATGTCTCAGTACTCTGTCAGTTTTGTGCCTAGTTGTTGCACTTTCTGACTGCAGTGGTGGAGAGTTACTCTTAACTCGTTTCCATATGTCCTTTTCCTTTCTACTTTTATTATGGGCTCAATACCCAAGTTTCAAAAAAATAAATAAAAAATAAAAAAACGATTTGCCCCCCAAGAACCCGTTGAATCAAATAAAGTGCACTGGTGTGGGGTTTAAATGCCGAAAACATTTTCCGACGAGCCACCCCAATCTCACAAGTAAATTGCACTTCAGGTGGCTGACCGTACCACACTAAAATACCTTGCGACACCGCTGGTCTTGCAGAAACATTAATTTTCAGATTTCTCTCACCGTTGGAGAAGAGATGTGTTCCTTCTGGTGGCGGAGGCACTGTCTGTGATTGAGCTGATCCACCAGCACCACCGCTACGTCTGGAATCCTCCAGGGCCCGCTTGTAGTGCTCCTTGATGCTACGCTGGTGGCGGTTGACAACCACACGCAGCGAGATGAGCACCATCACCCACAGATAACCCTGGTGTTGGTGGTCGTCGGTGCAGGAACACACGGGTAGGAGAAAAATAAGGACAGACACATGCACACGAACACACACACGCACACACCCACAGACACACACGCAAACATGCACGCATGTACACACACATCTTGATTCAGATTTGGAACCAAATTCGCTTCTACTGAGGTCACAGAGTTTAGCAGCTATCCGATTAGCACTAACCCATGGAAATGTTCTGCCGTAACCGAAGATGATTGCCTCAATGTGCTGTTGCCATGCCCCCCCCACCCCCCCCCCCCCCCCGTCACCCTTCCCCTCACCCCCCCCCCCCCCCCTCACCCTTTCCCTCACCCTCCCCCCCCCCTTCCCTCACCCCCCTCACCCTTCCCCTCACCCCCCCCCCCCCCTCACCCTTCCCCCTCACCCCCCCCCCCCTCCCACACACACACAACCCTCCCCAGACCCCAGTCATAAGAAATGCACCGTTGCCATGGAGTTGTCCAGACATACACGTGCACTGGAAGGAGCAGGAAGGAGCAGGTATACTCGTAGCAGCGCTCAGAACTAGGAACTGGATCAGACGAATGGCTGCCTGTCCCCGGTATGCCAAAAGCAAAGCCACTGCGTGACTACAGTGAGAGGACAGGTGCTGCTCGGCCATCGCCGGTCGTTTCTGAGACACACGCTCCAGCTTCGCACTGGCACTGCACATACTTCTCACTCGGTGTGCGTGTGTGCGCTCGTAAGCACGAGAGAATGAAACAAGACCATGTCTATTGCAGGACAATGAGGGGTGCAGCAATTCGTCGGGCGCTTCCGACCGTTGCACCACTAACAGCAGTGGTGCTTCACATGCTGTCCGGGAACACTGGCTTTCATGCGGACATCACCGCGTTACTGTCCTGGAACGTAGCTACTCCCATTAGCTCCCACGTGACATGGTGCGTGCATGCCACGGCCGCGCAAGGAGCAATCGCACTGCACCCACCAAACAAAGTCGGGGAGATCGAACGGCAATCACCGGCCAGCCCTGCTACACGAACATCACCGACAGGAACAGTGATGTCCAGGGAACGTGCTTTATATGATACCACAGCTACAGGAGCGTCACGGCAGCTGCTACACGTGTGGCGACTTCTTACATGCGTTTCGTGTACATAAATCATTTTTCATAAAAATGGCCGTTTGTATGCATTTGGATGGAAAGAAAGAAGCGTTCTCTTTGGCCCCAACTTTGTTGTGGTCTGGTTTGGCCATTGTAGCCGTCATGGTCGACGTAAAACACCATACACACACATCACCGACAGGAGCAGTGATGTGCTCTCTCTCAGGAAACGTGCTCTACATGCCACCATCGCTACAAGAGCGTCATTAATGCTGCTACATGGACAACTGGACAACGGGACGGCCATTTTGTATCCATGGTTGTATCCATGGCAACACCCTGGACTGGATAAATCTCCGACAACACCAGCAGCGGTGTAGATCACGACCAGGAACGCTGCCCTACATGGCTCTGCTGCTGCTGCTTCTGGTGCTGCCATTGCTGCTACTGCTCCCACAAAGTCAGTCACGTCACATCCAACGGCCGGCCAGGTCAGAGCAATTACCAGCACTCTTGTAAGATCGTAAACAGAACAAGCAATGTATTCCCCAGCCCTTAGGAATGTGCTTTGCGTGGGCACCACCAGTGCAGCAAGCCCGTCGCTGGTGCTGCAGAGTAAGCAGGCAACAGCAACACTCTACGCCGCTGGCAACAGTAATCGGTGTTGAAGATTCAGGATACCGTTTGGAATTCACTCTTGCTCATTTTGAGTTACCTAATATTCAGTCAGCTGCCAGTGACAATTGGTAGACGGATATGGACTGCTCATCCAGACAATGAATACGGCGTACCTGGTGAATTTTGGGAGAGCGGGGTGCTTGGTACGTGGGAAGAAGTGAAGCCTCAATCTCCGCAACGGTGGAAACCAGCCTGGCGTACCTATTTTCGCATGGAGCAGAGAACATTTGTATTTCTGGTGCGTCGCTATGGTCATCTGCTGATAAAGCCAAGTAAGGTGCTGGGTCCCATTCTCTTCAGCCTTTATACCCGGGAGGTCCCCGCTGTAGTTGGCCAATCCGAATCGAGTCAATTCGCGGGCGATGTTGCGCTCGTGTGCAGCCGGAGGTCAGCACAGGTAGTGTCCAATGTCTTTATCTGCCTCGGTTTCAACCATTGCTGACTGGCTGAAAGATCGAGGCCTGAACCTACATGTAAATGCTGGGAAGAGCCAAGTCGTGCCGATTCCTGCCGGCCGTCAGCGCACTGCAGACTTACAGGTCGTCTGCCAAGGCACTCCATTGCCTAGTGCGCTCACTGCTCGCTATCTTGGCGTAACGCCCGACTCCTGCATGTCCTGGCATGCCCATATTGTGCCAAATGTTCTGCACGCGTTTCACAGAAGATCGGGGAGCTCTGGAGAATGCGTCGCTGCCTGAACCACCAGTCACGGATGACATCCTTCAAATCGCTGATCATGCCTGACCTGCTGTATGCTTCCAACGGGTATTCGAGCTCCCTGCCATAAAAGTACCTTGATCGCCTTCAAGTCCTCCAGAATAATGGGGTTCGGGCGGTATCAGCCCCCCCCCCCCCCCCCCCCCCCCCCTGGTGCTCCGGCCGCGCTCTGCAAGAGCACGTGGAAGTGTTCCGTGTGGCAGAAGTTTTTCCCCAGAAGCTCGTGTACCTTGTGGGCCTGTGTGTACCAGTTTGCCGTTCTGCAGCAGGTCAGGGGCGCTTTGCTTGCAGGGGTGCAGTGCTATGGAATTCACTTTCTGGTAACCTGCGTGTCATTCATCACGCCCAGCAGTTCCGCGCACGCAGATCATTCCCTACACCCTGTAACTAAGGAAAAGCAAGATTTCTGTTGATCCCATCCACAAGCGATCTCTTTATGCTGAAACATTATAAATTCTAATTCTCAATCCCATCCTCGTTAACATTAATACTTTATCTTTATTCTCCCTATGGCCGTTTCCATCATCACATTCGATCTCATGTTATTGGGTTCTTGCCCGTTTGAAGTTGCGAATTCAAATAAATGCAAAAAAAGAAGGGAGGGAGGGAGAGAGGGAGGGAGAGAGGGAAGGAGGGAGGGAGGGAGGGAGGGGAGAGGGAGAGAGGGAGAGAGGGAGATGGAGAGGGAGAGAGAGAGGGAGAGGGAGAGGGAGAGGGAGAGGGAGAGGGAGAGGGAGAGGGAGAGGGAGAGGGAGAGGGAGAGGGAGAGGAAGAGTCAATGCGGGCAAGAGTACACAAACCCCAAGAGTGTGCAACTCCAGCTATGGCGTCTGGGACGGCAGAACTTACTTCACATCACGTGCCGAACCCGTACACATTATTTGCACGCTGTGCATGATAGATACTAGGGCTGAACTCAACACCCTGCTTTGGGCTCAACTCCCTTGTGGTCACTTTGTGCTGTTTGCCAGTGTCACCGTTTGACCTATGTCACGTGATGTGAAGTTCTGCCGTTGCAGCACTGTATAGAGAGAGGTTGTGCAGACAGCTGCACACTCGTGGGGGGGTTATGTACTCTTGATGCGGGGAAAGTGACTTCGTTTACAGTCCATCTAGCAAAATTGGGACCTGGGCTTAAAAAAAAACCCTGCCTCAGGCCACTACAGGCTGAAACTCTCGTGCTAATTCGGCCAGAAATGGGTTTCAGACCAGCATGTGTGCAGTGATCGAAGCTGAACCTGGTCATGATATGCCAAACCTGGGCAATTTTTGGAGGCTTTTGGTCCAACTCAAGGCATGCGACTTTGCTACGATATCATACAGATGCGCGCGGTGAAATCCGACTCACGGTCCATATTTGGCACCCTCAACCTGCACGGCCCTTGACGCCCTGGAAGTGGCATGAAAGCGGCTCATTTGGCTGGGCGTGCACATGTGCAAACGCAGTGATGCAATCGGCGGCAGCTTTGCACTTCGGGGTCGGATTTCAGTGAGGGCAACTGTACTTTTTTCTTGCTTTCCTTCGTTTCCAAGTCCCACTATGCTCCCGAATAAATGCGCAAAGTGGTGGCGGGGCCCTGCCGCTCAGCCGGCCTTGGTGGTCTCGGCGTCTGCACAGACAAAGCGGTGCACGCACTACCCGTGTGCACACAGCCAAGCCCGGCATAGTCCACCGCTTACCTGCACGTAGTTGGGAAGATGGTTGGTCTTCACCACGCCAACCCAGGACCCCAGCGACGTGAAGCGACTATTCTGCAACAGATCAGAAGACACACAATACAGAAGCCATGCACAGATTTCATCAAGAGTGCTCTAATTTTAATATAGCTATGAATAGGATGAAGGCCGCAGACATCACGCAACTACGTTACTTGTTTGACATGTATTACTGTGTATTTTATAACAAAAATATTATTGAAAACCCAGAATCGATTTTCTCTAATTTCAAAAAATTTTAGGTGCTCAATATGTTCGGTACGAGGGCAAAAGGCCAGGTTTATATAAAGGTGAACATAAATTTTAGGTACAGAGAAGCAGTTCCCTATTGGATTTTGTGTGTTAGTGTTTGTTCGATGTACTGTATAAGCAGAAAATTTCGTCGGTCAATAATTTCGTCCAACTCCAAAGAAAGGGAGTTCGTCCGGTTGTATATTTCGTCCATGGATCATAAGAGTGTGTTGAAAAGCTGGACAAAGCAATATTAGTCCGGCATTTAATTTAGTTCAAAAGCTCCTTCGACGAAAAAGACGAAATTAAATTCCAGACGAATATTTCTGCTTGTACAGTATTGAAATTTTAGGTATGAAACAGACGCACCGAAAGTACCGAAAATAAAAGTACACCGAAAATTCGTGAAATTACAGTACCCCTGCCCCCTCCCCAAGAGTGTGCAACTCCTCTATGGGTGCAGTCCCGACACAATTTCAAGCTGACGTCAGTCCTATGATGCCGTGCGTATTGTACATGTATTGTCAGAGGTATCCTGGACCTGCGGTGGACAAAGCCCCATTTCATCCTGTATAAACGGGTTCAAGGAAAGACGTGTGATGCGTTGACACCCCGTATAAGTATCGCAAATCACTGCCGCAAGGAGTATTCCATCTTAAAAATGACGTCAACTTAAAATTCTGTCGAGACAGCAGGGTATGCGGGAGCTGAACAGTCTGGGGGGAAGGGGGTGGGTACTCTTGGTATCACCATTCCAGCCACCTGAAGATAGTCCAGGTTGTATCAGTCTAGTTCACACAATATTTCCCACACTACTTGCAACAGATGTCATCCTTGGTTCTATGGTGTAATGGTTAGCACTCTGGACTTTGAATCCAGCGATCCGAGTTCAAATCTCGGTAGAACCTTTTTGCACCATTTTCTTCCTTTCCCAACCATGAAAGACAAAAAAGCAAGTTCAAAGGTCATCGCAAAGTCACCAGACATGGTTTTATGGTGTAATGGTTAGCACTCTGGACTCTGAATCCAGCGATCCGAGTTCAAATCTCGGTAGAACCTGATTTTTTTCTCTCACTTTCTTTCATTTGTCTTGTAGAAAATAGAGAAAAGGAAGGCTAACGCGGGATTCACAGAAGCTTTTTGCAATACAAAACGCGATGCGACGTGATCTGCGATGGATGCGTGCGATGCGAACTCGCGAAATACTATTCACAGAAGAAGTCAGCGATGCGAAAACGCCTTGCTGATTTGGTGCGGTTTGGTACAACTTGTACAAATTTATAGGCAACTGTACAACTTTGCTGTAGAAAAGGTCAAAATCGCTTGTCGCATCGCAAAAGTTGAGCCAACCTCAACTTCTGCGATGGCCCAGTTGCGGCACTTGTGTGGTATGTGAGATGGCTGCGATTTTGGCCGGTCACACTGTGGGAAAATTTGAAAAAAAGCCGTGGTTACCATGGATAATTGAAAGAACTTGAGGACATAAAAATGAAGTTCAAAGGTCATCGCAAAGTCACCAGAAAGGGTTCTATGGTGTGATGGGTTAGCACTCTGGACTTTCAATCCAGCGATGCGAGTTTAAATCTCGGTAGAACCTTTTTGCACCATTTTCTTCTTTTCTTCTTTTCCCAACCATGAAAGACATAAAAATGAACTTCAAAGGTCATCGCAAAGTCACCAGAAAGGGTTCTATGGTGTGATGGGTTAGCACTCTGGACTTTCAATCCAGCGATGCGAGTTCAAATCTCGGTAGAACCTTTTTGCACTACTTTCTTCTTTTCCCAACCATGAAAGACATAACAATGAACTTCAAAGGTCATCGCAAAGTCACCAGAAAGGGTTCTATGGTGTGATGGGTTAGCACTCTGGACTTTCAATCCAGTGATGCGAGTTCAAATCTCGGTAGAACCTTTTTGCACTACTTTCTTCTTTTCCCAACCATGAAAGACATAACAATGAACTTCAAAGGTCATCGCAAAGTCACCAGAAAGGGTTCTATGGTGTGATGGGTTAGCACTCTGGACTTTCAATCCAGCAATGCGAGTTCAAATCTCGGTAGAACCTTTTTGCACTATTTTCTTCTTTTCTTCTTTTCCCAACCATGAAAGACATAACAATGAACTCCACAGGTCATCGCAAAGTCACCAGAAAGGGTTCTATGGTGTGATGGGTTAGCACTCTGGACTTTCAATCCAGCGATGCGAGTTCAAATCTCTGTAGAACCTTTTTGCACCATTTTCTTCTTTTCTTCTTTTCCCAACCATGAAAGACATAACAATGAACTTCAAAGGTCATCGCAAAGTCACCAGAAAGGGTTTATGGTGTGATGGGTTAACACTCTGGACTTTCAATGCAGCGATGCGAGTTCAAAACTCGGTACAACCTTTTTGCACCATTTTCTTCTTTTCTTTTCCCAACCATGAAAGACATAACAATGAAGTTCAAAGGTCATCGCAAAGTCACCAGAAAGGGTTCTATGGTGTGATGGGTTAGCACTCTGGACTTTCAATCCAGCGATGCGAGTTCAAAACTCGATAGAACCTTTTTGCACCATTTTCTTTTTCTTTTCTTTTCCCAACCATGAAAGACATGAAAATGAAGTTCAAAGGTCATCGCAATGTAACCAGAAAGGGTTCTATGGTGCAATCAAGAGTACATAACCCCCCAGAGTGTGCAACGCCTGATCCAGCTCTGCATAGGGTCTTGGTCGAGCGTAATCGGATCTCTGCGTCATAATACCGTACACATCTGAGGGGAACCCGGGGAGTCGCGGGTACTCTTGGATCAAAAACAATGGTGCCGTGCCTCGGGACCGGCCTTGCGCAGGTGTGGAGTGTACGCATGACTCAGAAGATCCGATTACGCTCGACCAAGACCCTATGCAGAGCTGGATCAGGTGTTGCACACTCTGGGGGGTTATGTACTCTTGGTGTGATGGGTTCGCATTCTGGACTTTCAGTCCAGCGATGCGAGTTCAAATCTCGGTAGAACCTTTTTGCATTACTTTTTTCTTTTCTTTTCCAACCATGAAAGACATAACAATGAAGTTCAAAGGTCATCGCAAAGTCACCAGAAAGGGTTCTATGGTGTGATGGGTTAGCACTCTGCACTTTCAATCCAGCGATGCGAGTTCAAATCTCGGTAGAACCTTTTTGCACCATTTTATTCTTTTCTTCTTTTCCCAACCATGAAAGACATAACAATGAACTTCAAAGGTCATCGCAAAGTCACCAGAAAGGGTTCTATGGTGTGATGGGTTAGCACTCTGGACTTTCAATCTAGCGATGCGAGTTCAAATCTCGGTAGAACCTTTTTGCACCATTTTCTTCTTTTCTTCATTTCCCAACCATGAAAGACATAACACGAAGTTCAAAGGTCATCGCAAAGTCACCAGAAAGGGTTCTATGGTGTGATGGGTTAGCACTCTGGACTTTCAATGCAGCGATGCGAGTTCAAATCTCGGTAGAACCTTTTTGCACCATTTTCTTCTTTTCTTCTTTTACCAACCATGAAAGACATAAAAATGAACTTCAAAGGTCATCGCAAAGTCACCAGAAAGGGTTCTATGCTGAGATGGGTTAGCACTCTGGACTTTCAATCCAGCGATGCGAGTTCAAATCTCGGTAGAACCTTTTTGCACCATTTTCTTCTTTTCTTCTTTTCCCAACCATGAAAGACATAACAATAAACTTCAAAGGTCATCGCAAAGTCACCAGAAAGGGTTCTATGGTGTGATGGGTTAGCACTCTGGACTTTCAATCCAGCGATGCGAGTTCAAAACTCGGTAGAACCTTTTTGCACCATTTTCTTCTTTTCTTCTTTTCCCAACCATGAAAAACATAAAAATGAACTTCAAAGATAATCGCAAAGTCACCAGAAAGGGTTCTATGGTGTGATGGGTTAGCACTCTGGACTTTCAATCCAGCGATGCGAGTTCAAATCTCGGTAGAACCTTTTGCACCATTTTCTTCTTTTCTTCTTTTTCCCAACCACGAAAGACATAAAAATGAACTTCAAAGGTCATCACAAAGTCACCAGAAAGGGTTCTATGGTGAGATGGGTTAGCACTCTGGACTTTCAATCCAGCGATGCGAGTTCAAATCTCGGTAGAACCTTTTTGCACCATTTTCTTCTTTTCTTCTTTTCCCAACCATGAAAGACATAACAATGAACTTCAAAGGTCATCACAAAGTCACCAGAAAGGGTTCTATGGTGTGATGGGTTAGCACTCTGGACTTTCAATCCAGCGATGCGAGTTCAAAACTCGGTAGAACCTTTTTGCACCATTTTCTTCTTTTCTTCTTTTCCCAACCATGAAAAACATAAAAATGAACTTCAAAGATCATCGCAAAGTCACCAGAAAGGGTTCTATGGTGTGATGGGCTAGCACTCTGGACTTTCAATCCAGCGATGCGAGTTCAAATCTCGGTAGAACCTTTTTGCACCATTTTCTTTTTCTTTTCTTCTTTTCCCAACCATGAAAGACATAACAATGAAGTTCAAAGGTCATCGCAAAGTCACCAGAAAGGGTTCTATGGTGTGATGGGTTAGCACTCTGGACTTTCAATCCAGCGATGCAAGTTCAAAACTCGGTAGAACCTTTTTGCACCATTTTCTTCTTTTCTTCTCTTCCCAACCATGAAAGACATAAAAATGAACTTCAAAGGTCATCGCAAAGTCACCAGAAAGGGTTCTATGGTGAGATGGGTTAGCACTCTGAACTTTTAATCCAGCGATGCGAGCTCAAATCTCGGTAGAACTTTTTGCACCATTTTCTTCTTTTCTTCTTTTTCCAACCATGAAAGACATAACAATGAACTTCAAAGGTCATCGCAAAGTCACCAGAAAGGGTTCTATGGTGTGATGGGTTAGCACTCTGGACTTTCAATCCAGCGATGCGAGTTCAAAACTCGGTAGAACCTTTTTGCACCATTTTCTTTTTCTTTTCTTTTCCCAACCATGAAAGACATAAAAATGAACTTCAAAGGTCATCGCAAAGTCACCAGAAAGGGTTCTATGCTGAGATGGGTTAGCACTCTGGACTTTCAATCCAGCGATGCGAGTTCAAATCTCGGTAGAACCTTTTTGCACCATTTTCTTCTTTTCTTCTTTTCCCAACCATGAAAGACATAACAATGAACTTCAAAGGTCATCGCAAAGTCACCAGAAAGGGTTCTATGGTGAGATGGGTTAGCACTCTGGACTTTCAATCCAGCGATGCGATTTCAAATCTCGGTAGAACCTTTTTGCACCATTTTCTTCTTTTCTTCTTTTCCCAACCATGAAAGACATAAAAATGAACTTCAAAGGTCATCGCAAAGTCACCTGAAAGGGTTCTATGGTGTGATGGGTTAGCACTCTGGACTTTCAATCCAGCGATGCGAGTTCAAAACTCTATAGAACCGTTTTGCACCATTTTCTTCTTTTTGTCTTTTCCCAACCATGAAAGACATAAAAATGAAGTTCAAAGGTCACCAGAAGGGGTTCTATGGTGTAATTGGTTAGCACTCTGGACTTTCAATCCAGCGATGTGAGTTCAAATCTCGGTAGAACCTTTTTTTCTTGCACTTGGTCTCTCTTTTATATTTTGACGTGGCTTGCACGTGAAAATAGCCTGAACGCTTGCCAACATGCTGCTAGATAGGGTTCTATGGTGTAATGGTTAGCACTCTGGACTCTGAATCCAGCGATCCGAGTTCAAATCTCGGTAGAACCTGATCTTTTTCTTCTCTTTTTTTTCTGGAAAAATCTAAGGTAGAGTTCGGGGAAGCCGTGTTACATGATTGTACAAACTCGTATGAGGAAATGGTGGACCTGTTTGCATATTCACAAATTATACATCTCTGGACATCACCCATTTCGTCTAGAAAATTGAGAGGTTCCGCACTACGTAAAGTTGAGCAACTTTACGTTTGAGCAACTTTACGTTTGTGGGCAGGAAAAACCCGAGAATTTGCGAGTTTGCACTCCACTTACGGAAAGTTGTCTACGGAGAGTACGTAGATAGGGCTCTGATAACGTAGGTGCTCCGTAAGTGGATTGGGGTACAAATTTATGACTCTCTCCCCCAACTCGATCGGTCGTACACTGCCGCATTGGGAGTTGCTAAGGGCAGCTACGTGATTTGAAAACTGCGTATGGCGGAACACAGACGCGCATGCAGTTCCCGGAAGACATTCCGTAGATCGACTACGTTTTTTACTGACGTAATTACGCTATGCGGAACCTCTCGAATGTGAACAGATGGCGTCACTACGCAGATTTAGCATCACGAATTACGCATTCCAGGTCGCGAGCAATTTTCGGCTTGCGACCTGGAATACGAATGTTTGCAATTTTCCGGAAAAGCAGTCAAAATGCCAATCACGGATTTGAGTCAGGACAGTTGTAAATTTACCACGCTGAACTACCTGTATACATGTACGACCCAACAATGTCACGCAAGTGCAAATTCTGTTTGCCAATCCTCATCACAAAGCGAAATTCACCACTCAATTCGTTTTTCCCTCGGCTTTATTATCATTTAACTTAGGGTGCGTTCTTAAATCCTCTCGGAAAAGTTCGAGACTCTCCGAAAAGTTCGAGAGCTGTTCTTATAATTATTCTCTCCGAATTTTAGGAGGCTCTCCGAAGCTCTCCACGCTTCAGAGGTGGTTGAAACTTGGAGAATCCCGCGGTTTGGGATCAGCGCATGCGAACTACGGCTAAAAGCCATGCGTTGATCATGAGTGTACGCATTTCCCTTTTCTAATACGCACATATGCATACTACATTCATAAGTCAAGATGGCGCGATCCCTTTGGCGCTTCATATTGCTTGACATGTGCAAAATATCTCCGAATTCTTCGAGACCCGTTCTTGAGTTATCCCAGTTTCTTCGACTTCTCTTTTCTTCTTCTTCTAGAAGCTAGAGAATATAAGAACGCACCCTTAGTATTTGGTGCACATTTAGCGCTACATGGTTTATAATTTCCATGTTTCTTGATTTTGAATTTAGCGCTTTCAGGTGTTATTATTTTTATTTTTATAATAATTCTTATTGGAAGGCGAACTAAAACACAAAACGCCTCTTGCTAAACCGTACTATGGCATTGTGCACTCGGTCTATTAATTATCCTTGTCATATAGACAGTGGCTACCAGACAAGGTTCTATGGTGTAATGGTTAGCACTCTGGACTTTGAATCCAGCGATCCGAGTTCAAATCTCGGTAGAACCTTTTTTCTTACACTTTTCTTTTCACTTTTTTCTCACATGTACACTGACAAGACATAAAGTTCAAAGGTCATAAAAGAGCTGCCAGACAGGGTTCTATGGTGTAATGGTTAGCACTCTGGACTCTGAATCCAGCGATCCGAGTTCAAATCTCGGTAGAACCTGACTTTTTCCTCTCCTTTTTTTCACAACGCCACGGAAGAGCCTATAGCGGAGAGACGCGATTCTCGCACGTCAAAGTTGTAGTGCCTACCTCCCCATCCCCACTTTACGAACAAGGTTTATTGCCTTGCGGCATCGATGTTTCAGCCAGCAGAACACCTAACGTGCGTGTGTTCATGCGTGTGTTCATGCGTGTGTTCATGCGTACACAGTTGACTTACATTCAGAGAACAGTTGTGCGACAGGGAAACATCTTCGGCGGTGAAAGTCTGCAGTTGGAAGGCCATCTTGGCCTCAATGCTGACCAGTGCCCAAAGGTTGAAGAAGAGGTAGCAGATGCTGCGCAGGCCGGGGATCAGCAGGGTGATCAGGACGAAAACAAACGCCACAATGTTGAACGCGCTGATCTGGTGATACAGAGTGGGCAGGCAGACAAGCACACGCACAAACACCCAGTACACGTGCGCATACGTGCGCGCGCACACACACACGCACACACACACACACACACCGTGGCAAAGCATGCAGGCGTTTCAGACAAAAACAAGATGCTGAACACACGCAAACCTGTGGACACACACACACACACACACACACACACACACATGTGGCACGCCTGGATCTGCTCTGCTTACTAACAGAGTCTCAGGAGTTGGGCAAGAAACCCGTTCATCCAAGAGGGCGAGGTCTACATGGCTATGGAGACGGAAAGGTCAGCTTGCACGACTCTCACACGAGCAATGAAGCAGCGAGCCATGGGAAGATATTAAATATTTATGTATTCCCCCGTGAGAGTAATCGCAAGAGATCGCCGGCAAAGTTGGACAGTGCCCAACTCTTCTTTTTTTCACGTTCGGGCTCTCCGCCTTCTCCGTGAAATAAAAAAATAAAAAATAAAACAGGTTCTGCGTTCCGGCTCTCCGCCTTCTCTCCGCCGAACAACCTGTGAGCGTAATAGGGGATTCACACGACGCGCAAACTCACGTGTGTGGTACTCTTTTTACTCGTGTGACCCTAGCGCGTGCAAAATCTTGATAAACTTGATCGGGGGTCCTAGGCCCACGTTTGTGCTTTGCGCGTGTGTAAAACCAGCGTGAGTACTTGAGTATGGTACTCAAGGTACATGAGTACACAGACGCATGCGAGATTTGCACGGGTCTGTTGTCCGTGTGAATCGGATGGGCAGCTTGTCCACTTTTATACAATCGTGTTTTCGTTCATTTTCACGTCGTGCGAATACCCTATTATGCTTAGCCCCCAAAGAAGACCTTACCGTCACCTTTATAGGGCACACACTCCCTCCCCCCCCAAAGAAGACCTTACAGTCACACTTACAGGGCACACACACCCATCCCCCCCCCCCCAAAAAAAGGAAAAAAAGAAGACCTCACAAAGAAGACCTCACAGTAACCCTTCCAGGGCACACACTCACATCGTTCAGGCAGACGATCGTGATGATGAGCAAGACGAGGCGGTTGAGATGCAACTCCAGCAGTCGCCAGAGCAGCCCCAGCAGCCAAGACACACTGGCTATCACCCGGGACACAGACCAGAGGAGGAAGTCCTTCCAGGAACGCTTGTCATTGCCACAGCCACCACCAGACTGACTCTCATCCTCATCATCCTCATCCTCTGAACGGTCTTCAGCTTCATCACCTACACAAGATACACACGGAAGATGTTCTTGTTCAGTTCAAGGCAGCATAGTCTACAACGTGATACGTAGAGTGTATGACACGGTGTGAAAGACACAGAGCGAGAAAGAGCGAGAAAGAGCGAGAGAGAGAGAGAGAGAGAGAGAGAGAGAGAGAGAGAGAGAGAGAGAGAGAGAGAGAGAGAGAGAGAGAGAGAGAGAGAGAGAGAGAGAGAGAGAGAGAGAGAGAGAGAGAGAGCGTGTGTGTGTGTGTGTGTGTGTGCATGCATGTAGGTGTGTTTTGAAAGCGAAAGAAAGTGTGTGCGCGTGCGTGTGTGTGTGGGGGGGGGGGGGGGTACATGGTGTGTGCTTGGGGGGGGGGGGGGGGGGGGATTATAAGCAGGTGTTGGTGGGCGTGTATGTGTGCGAGGTAAAACAGAAATTCTTAAGAAATGGACTTTCTCACCAGCTACAAGATTAGCCGTGGCCGCCGCCGATGCTGCAGAGCGCGGTAACATAGAACTAGGACTGGCGGTAGAGGCGAGACGGTCCCCGGCCACACCTCCACCGGTGCTGCGGGCTGAATTGTTGAACGCGGCGTTGTTGACGGACATGGTCTGTTTGCGCGGTGTCAGCGCCCGCTGCCGATCACCAGCTCGCTGTGAATCACCTCCGCCGCCGTCGTCGTCGGCCGTGGCGGCGTTGGTCGGTTGAGGCGGTGCGTATGCTGATGCAGTACCAGCATTGCCACTGCTGGACGGCATGGTGTGTAACTCGGTGCTCGCACTGAGTGCAGAGCCAGACTGTAACCAACAACACAACAAAAGCGGAGAACACAGGACAAAATGAAGTCTTGAGCGTATCTGAACAGCCGAATAATCCATTGAAGACGGCGTGAGTAGCAGCAGCAAGAGTATATGAAATCCAGAGTGTGCAACTTGTGACTTTTCCTGCATGGGTGTCTGTCGCGACGAAATTAAACACACATGCGCCTACAAAAACCTAGCATGCCACCGACACACACAAAAAATGCACGCATGCACGCACGCACGCTCCCTCTCCCTCTCCCTCTCTCTCTCTCTCTCTCTCTCTCTCTCTCTCTCTCTCTCTCTCTCTCTCTCTCTCTCTCTCTCTCTCTCTCTCTCTCTCTCTCTCACACACACACACACGCACACGCGCACACACACACACACACACACACACACACACACACACACACACACACACACACACACACACATATACGCCAGCAGCAGCAGACAACAAACTGACCTTGGAAAGAGAAAGGTCCATGGGAGGACTTCTGCTCCGCGATGCCGGGGATGTAGGTGATGTTGATGGTGTACTCGCGTTGTATGGTGATGGTGTAGCTGTAGGTCCTGCTGCTGGACACAACCCATAACACACAGTACAAACAGTTTATACAACACATACAGTCAACTTCGTTAATAACGACTGAGAATATAACGACAATTCGCGAATAACGACAGAATTTCCATGCCCAGAGCAAAGTCCCATCCCACTGTAATACATATAATGAGACTTCGGGTATAACGACACTTCGCGAATAAGGACACTTTTTGATGCCCCGCCGAGTGTCGTTATAAGCGAAGTTGACTGTATAACACACAACACACACAACGTGCAACAGCGCTAGGAGTGAAACGAGAGGCAAAATCGAGGACTCGAGTACTCTTCGAAAAACAAGTACTCGAACGAGTGCGAGTATTTTACTGACAACATGAAACAATGCACTGCATACACTCTCCGAACACCGAACGTAGTACTTCCTCCGGAAACAAAAACTCTGTGACCTTTTTGACTAATTTTCGCTGCTGTTCTGTCGTTCTCTGCAGGGATGAACTGTATTTTTTTGCATAGCAGTTTTCGCGACGCAAACGCCAAAATGCGTAGCAGTCCTTGATTTTTGATTTATATAGCACTTTTTCTTCCACGAAGACCGACTAAAATTTCTCAATCCACGGAGGGAGTACTCGTGCTGTCTGCATAGCTGGCAGAAAATTAGCGTCACCGCTGCACCTGTAGCTTTCTCAGAACCAAGCCATTTCTTCTGGACATCGACCTCTGCCACTTCTCAAAGGTACTCTGTCGTAAAGACATGTTGGAGGCAGAACCAGACTAGACAAAAACTACAGCTTGGACAATTGTCAGAGAGAAGGACGAACGTGATTCCAAAAGTTCCTCACGACCAGAAAGACCGACTGGCTACAAGCAGAAAGCTATAATATCACGAAAAGAGGTAAGTGAACCAGAAAGAAGAAAACAAACAACAAGACCTCCGCCGGGATCGTGGAGGAAAGATGATGCTTGTCAGTACGGAAAGTACATGTACATGAACTTACTGAACTAACTACTGAATGAAAGCCGCGCAAAGTGGTACGTGTAGTTCAAGTAGGACACCAGTACAGTCAGTATGTGCACGCGGAGCCAGCCACAGTTCACAGGTACATGTACTAGAAATCACACCTTCCCGAGAAAAAAGCGGGGTCTGTGTCTGTACAGGTGTAGTGAGTGTACGACACAGTCACAGCATCACTTTTACTGACTGCGTGAGCTAGTATGCAGTGCCGTTTATGCATCGCAGTTTCCTGCGAGTCGCTGTGATTTTTGAGTCGCACTCGATCGATTTTGAATCGCAAACTGCGATGCGATACCGGATAAATTCATCCCTGCTCTGTGTGGCTGAGTTGGCCTGAAACAACAACAGATGACATTTCCGAACCGTTGGAAGGCATGATTCCCATTCTGGAAAGCCGACAGTCATCACAAGGCAAAGGTGTCGTGTTGTAACCAAGCGAAGCGACGATGTTTTGCATTTTGTCCAACAGGCACATTGCCAACAAAAGCACTGCGCTCACTGCTCGTCGTTGCTAGTTTTCGGTTCAGAATGAGAAAGAGCAGGGCAATGGAACTGAGGAGCAAGAAGAGTGTGAAATGGAAAGCAGCTAGCGTTTTGAAATCTGCGTCATCCCCAAAAGCACCAGCCAATGTGCGAACAGGTCGGCAAGATGTCCGAAAACTCCAAACGCAAAGATGTGACACTCGTCCCTACGCGCAGCGCAGCAAAGCTAAAAAGTTCAAAAATAAAGTCATCGTTCAGTGGAAGAGCTTGCCTTTTTCAGCAGCCTCCACTCCGATGTCTCCTTGGTTGCATAGGAGAACAGGCGAGATCTCCTCGCAGCAGTCATGACATGATGGGACGACTACAACGCGGAGAAAATGCGAAATGTTTGGCTTTGCCTGTACGCGTCGTTCCGGAGCATTCTAGAGAGCCAATGCGATACCAGAGTACCAGCGCCACCGCGGTCTTTACCTAGATGCTAGGGAAGGCACTCGTGAAATCACGTACTACAGCAGTAACGGCGAAGGCGATCAGGGGCGCTGAGAAGCTGCTCCGTGACATGCGAGTACGTGTCGATCGACCTGCCTCTTTGGTTGCTTCCAGCCGTGATGAATCGAGCGATCGCGCCTCAGACTGAGACTTTATTCCCATCCATCGACCTTTTAGATATTCATTTTACTCATGTCCATTGAGCGTGCTGAAGTGCTTCTCTTCCAATAGAACACTTTTGTTGAGCACAGTAACTCAAAAGTCATGTGAAAAAAGTCACGAAGTTTTTGTTTCCGGAGGAAGTACATTCGATACACATGTAGTCGTGCATGCAGCCTACTGCAGGAGATAGTTTGAACTACTGTCTTTTGCTGGTAAGTAGGGACAAGCAATGATTTAGCGCTTGCGTGGGCCATCAGTACCAGTCAGAGTAACAGAAATGCTTGATGTACATGCATACAATACACTGTACATAAGATACTTCGAGTATTTTGCGAAGCGAGTTCTCGCTCGTTTCAAATTTTGCTCGAGTATTCGATATACTCGTGTCACCCATACGTAATGGAAATGCAAACGCGGCGCAAACGCGGGTCGGATTTCTTTGGCCACGACTGTAGTTCGAAGTGTCTTCATCATCATGTGTGTTGATCACATTAATCATGTTCCCAAGAGCCATTTCATTTCGTTCTTTTACAATAAAACTGTTATGAAATATCAATCCAGCTGGTTCTGTTGATTACAGCCACACAACAATCCTTGAAAAAAGGGGGGGGGGGTATCGACTTAAAGCCAGGGTTCTAACAGCTGTTGAACCGGTACATCGAGGTTGGGGGTGGACTCATGGCCGGGGTGGACTCATGGCCGGGGTCGACTCATGGCCGGGGTCGACTCATAGCCGGGGACGACTCATGGCCGGGGTCGACTCATGACCGGGGTCGACTCATGACCGGGGTCGACTTGTACTTGTGCCCGGTAAAGTGCGGTACATGGTCAGCCAGCATGTACAGGTACGTACCAGGTGTTTTATCATGGCAGTAGCGTATCTGAATGATGACTGTGATGAGCACTATGGTGGGCAAGGAGAGCTGGCCAAACAGCTGCTCTTGATCATAGTGTTGCAGGCCTATGTCGTGGACCCTGAACACAACAGGAATACCGCCGCCGACGCCGCGGAGAGAACACACGCATACACACGTATGCACAAGCACGTACAGAAACACGCACACACACACACACATACAGAAACACACACACACACACACACACACACGCAAACACAGAAACACCGCTATTCAGCCTGGTCTACACCACACAGCTATGAAGTGGCTTTTTCTGGCCAGTGGTCACACACATTTAGCTTTAGACATAGGCATCGCAGAAAACAGGCAGCGTTGATTTGAGCATGACAGATATAACAACGGATGCGTGGCAAAGCACACATCAACCACTTGTGAGACTCAGGAGCAGAAAAACTGGGACTGAACCACGGGTCCAAATCTGGGACAGTATCCATTTCGGTTTGGACTACATTTGAGAGACATCAACAAGGTAGGTTGAACTGGATGTGCCATGACTCACCATGAAGTCTTCACATGATCCCAGAGGTTGCGCACTGACACAAACTGATAGGAGTAGATCAATGCCAGGACAGCCATGCTGTACACGACAGCCAACCACCAGAGTGGTCGCAGAACAGCTGACCATAGCCTGCCGGATGTCTGTGCAGTACCACGTGTGCACAGAGAGAGAGAGAAAGACATACACATCGAATGTGACTTGAAAATGGGTTGTGACTTATAATCAAGTGCGACTTATAATCGGGAAAATATGGTACTCTTGCTATGATGCGTGTACGGGGTCCGAGAACACGTTCCCGTAAGCAAGATTCAGAACAAATTCTTCCTCTGAAGTTCTCCTATTAGCTATGGACCTGTGGGCAGCGTGAGCTCGTAGCCCATGACAACCACCACAGGTTACCTAGGTTACGACGCGTGAAATATCACCGCAGACAACCGGATATACAGTTAGTCTGGCATTTGTACGGGAAACAGTACGCAACTGACTCTGGACATGTACGCCATCACCGTAGCAACGGCAAAAAGCAAATATTGCCACTAGCCAGAGAAATGATAGAAAGTAAAATACCCAGGCAATACTAAAGCATCGCTTCTCGGCCTTTTGGCTAAGATCAAGTGAAGTTTCTGTTCTTATCAGTTTGATCGCTGGTATGTCAACTATACGTTGATGTTTTCGATCAAATGTATTTTTGATTTGTGGCAGAGAGGCTTGAAGCTTGCTTCACCCTCTCCATGGATTGCCCTGGTTTCGCAGTTTTTCCAGGTGTGGTCTTGCCATTCCCTTCGGGGATTCTAATATGAGATGAAGGAAATATTGAATGGAGCTTGGGGCTAGAGAGTGATATACTGATTTGAAGAATTGAATGCCAAGTGACTAAAAAAAGACAGATTCCTTCCTAATGTGAGCAACCAGATTCACAGGCAGCAGGCTTCGGGCAGCGCCACAGCAGAACATCCCACCAAGAATATAAGTGCATTTTTTTTAGACCATTCCCTTGTGTAAGTGCATACCGTATAGTCTTGTATAAAAGCCGCTGCTTCTATGACTTTCTTGGTGAAATTTTGCAGGCTTCTATATGAGACAGGCTTCTATACAAGACAGGTATTTCTATATATGTCAACACTAAAACCAGGCTTATGTGTGATCTGATGGGCCCAAAATTGCGGCTTCTATTCGAGGGCAGCTTCTATTCAAGTGCGGCTTTTATACAAGACTTTACGGTATTCGAAGTATACACCATAAAGTAACGCTGATCCCACGTGGCGGGAATTCAATCAAGTCGGTGAAGTGCAGTACAACCAAGAGTACATAACCCCCCAGAGTGTGCAACGCCTGATCCAGCTCTGCATAGGGTCTTGGTCGAGCGTAACCGGATCTTCTGATGCCATGCGCACACTCCACACCAGCGCAAGGCCGGTCTCGAGGCAGGGCACTGTTGTTTTTGATCCGAGAGTACCCGCGATTCCCCGGGTTCCCCTCAGATGTGTACGGTATTATGACGCAACGATCCGATTACGCTCGACCAAGACCCTATGCAGAGCTGGATCAGGCGTTGCACACTCTGGGGGGGGGGGGGGTTACGTGCTCTTGGCACAACGCACAACAGCGCGGAAGGTCGCACTCGATGTGCTGGATTTTGCACATTTTCATCGAGTCCGACCTTCCGCGCTGTTGTGCACAGCAGTGCATGCGTCGGCCCACGGGTAGAAACTCGACAGGAAATTCGAGAGGGGGCGGATCAACGGCACTTTACGGTACAGGTAGACTCCCTTTAATTCGAACCTCAAATTGCCAGGCCCTAACTTCTAATTATCCGGAACTTCTAATTATCCGAATGCAGCCCCATGCACTGATATGTATGTCAAAATGCTTGAAATCGCATGCTGAATATTTTTTGCACATTATTTTTTATTTGCATCAACGAAACATAGGTGGTCGTACCGCGTACCGGTCATGTACAACGGATACGCGTAACAGCAGTGGGATCATCAAAACACTGGATCGACACAAAATCATTTGACATTATTATCTTCATCTTCTACGTCTTCTAGTGAAGAAGTTGTCAGCCACTGCAGCTTTCCTGAAACAATTTCAACGGAAAAGAACTGCGCTGCCTAATCCGCGTCATGAAAGGCCGTCGGACCACAGCACGTCGTTCCGAAGAACGGAAGTGAAGCATAGGCATAGACAATATTTACGACAATAGTGTTATTGTGCGCCAACATCTCCGTGCACGAGCTGGCGCGGCAAGAAAGGCCATCGAGATCCGCGAAGAGAGTCAGCTACCTGGAAGAAGTCGTCTTCAA